TAGGATGTTTTGTATGACTAGCTGTTATCTTACCTCCCTGTGAGTCTGATAGGATGTTTTGTATGACTAGCTGTTATCTTACCTCCCTGTGAGTCTGATAGGATGATTTGTATGACTAACTGTTATCTTATCTCTCCGTGAGTCTGATAGGATGTTTTGTATGACTAACTGTTATCTTATCTCTCCGTGAGTCTGATAGGATGATTTGTATGACTAACTGTTATCTTATCTCTCCGTGAGTCTGATAGGATGTTTTGTATGACTAACTGTTATCTTACCTCCCTGTGAGTCTGATAGGATGTTTTGTATGACTAACTGTTATCTTACCTCCCTGTGAGTCTGATAGGATGTTTTGTATGACTAACTGTTATCTTACCTCCCTGTGAGTCTGATAGGGTGTTTTGTATGACTAGCTGTTATCTTAACCTTAGTGGACCTCTTTTCCTTTAAAAAGTCAATCACCAAATAACTAAAAAATAAGAAGATTTTCCTTTCTAAAAAATTAACAACAAAGGTTCTTTCCTTTTTTAAAAGTTATAAATAAGGAATCTTTTACTTTAACACTGACTACAAAGAACGTCTTTTGTTTTCTTCAATCGAAGAAATTATTTTCTGTAAACAATGCCATGAAAGGATCTCTTTTTCTTCTAAAACTCTGCCATAAAACCTGATTTTAACAACTAATACATTGAAATAAACACATTAGTATATTAAGCAGTAACTGGTAAGTCATCACTTGTCAAGCAATAATTCCTTAAACAATGTTATCAAAAGAAGCTCCGCACTTACGTAACAAACTAGTCTTATTGGCTCAGCTGTTGACCACCTTGGAGGCGATAACTGGACATTGAAACATGGTGGCTCTGTTTCAGATTTTGGTTCTACTGGCAAGAGAAATATCGATTTTAAAAATAACGTTTAGAATTAGCAAACATTTTACTTAATTATCTGTTAATTTGAAAAAATATTATTAACTAACTTTGTTTTATACAAAACACTGAAGCAAAGTTAATAATCGAATACATTTCAGTGAATCTAAAAAACTGTTCTGTGCTGTTCACTTGCTAATAATAGTATCAAAAACACTACAACCAAAACAATAAAAATATTAACTATCGCACCAAACTTTATTCAATAATACTATCAAGAACACTACAACTAACACAATTAAAAATATATTAACTATTGCCTTAAACGTTATTCAATAATACTATCAAGAACACTACAACCAACACAATTAAAAATATTAACTATTGTACTAAATGTTATTCAATAATACTATCAAAAACACTACAACCAACACAATTAAAAATATTAACTATTGCACTAAACGTTATTCTATAATACTATCAAAAACACTACAACCAACACAATTAAAAATATTAACTATTGCACTAAACGTTATTCAATAATACTATTAAGAGCACTACAACCAACACAATTAAAAACAATTAACTAATAGCTGGAGTACCAGTCCACTAAAAGAAGTTATGTAAATTCATGATTAATGAAAGATTAACTTAGGACATGAAAAATTGCTTCCCTTATATGTACTTGTAAAATACGCAAAAATGCTAACATGAAACTCTGTATGCACCCACGTATGGACCTAATGAACCTACGTACCAATTTTGTTGAAGATCCATCCATACCCTGCGAAGTAGTTACATGGACATACAACAGACAGTACTATTATATTTACATAGATTACACTAAACGTTATTTGAACAATAGTATCAAGAATACTACAACCAACAGAATTAAATATATTAGCTATTACGCTAAACGTTATTTGAACAATAGTATCAAGAATACTACCAACAACAAAATTAAATATATTAGCTATTACGCTAAACGTTATTTGAACAATAGTATCAAGAATACTACAACCAACAAAATTAAATATATTAATTATTACACTAAACGTTATTTGAATAATAGTATCAAGAATACTACAATCAACAGAATTGAATATATTAACTATTACACTATACGTTATGTTACGACAGTGGAAGTCGCATGACGCTGGTAACACGTAATGAGTTTCTCGAACGTTCCTGAAGGCTCGAGTGTTTGCTAGACACGCGCTCTTATAGTATATGAGCCAGCAAATAAAGTGACGGGAAAGAATTGCAGACAGACAGAGACGGACAATTGAGTCAAGCGCGGTAGTGACCGTAAGTAAATTGCGTGAATTATAGCATGTGTTGAATTTAAAGTGACTGTGGAAATTAAGTGTATTACAAAGTTGTATTGAGGAAGAATAAACTAGTTTTATTTAACAAAGGGCTTGTATCGCTGAAGTTCCTCGGGAATAATTTTTACGGGAAATTAACAAATGACCAGAGACGTAACAAATTGGTGTCAGAGAGTGGGGCAGAAAATAAGAATAAAAAAAAAGAAGATGCAAATGAGAGGTGGCAAATCAAACTACAGCTTAGCAAATTTGATGGCAGCAATACAAGAACAGCAAAAGAAACAAGAAGAACGAGAAAAGAAACAAGAAGAGAGACAACAGCAGTTGCAAGAAGACCTGCAACAGTGGCAGGTCAAACAGCAAAATAAACAAGAAGAGAGATTACAGCAGTTGTTGGAGGAAAACGAAAAGAAACAAGAAGAACGAGAAAAGAAACAAGAAAAGAGACTACAGCAGTGGTTGGAGGAGAAAGAAAATGGACAAAAAGAGAGACTACAGCAGAGGAGAAAGAAAATAAACAAGAAGAAAGTATCCAACAATTGAGAGAAAGCCAGAGTACACAAATGGAAAACATTAGTAAATTTCAAAGCGAATTAAATACATTAAAGAATGATTTACTGTCTTTAACACAAGGAGGATGTATTAGCCATCAAACTAATCAGCCTCAGACAATGGGAAGCCCCTTCCAAACCCTGCAGCTAAACCCTAATGTAGACATCTTCAGTCCTGTTAGAAGTCACATCCCAGATATGAATGTCAGCAATAGGGGTGATCTAGTACGAAGGAAGCCACAGGAGTTCGATGAGAAGGCACCATGGGAAGCATATAGAGCACAATTTGAGCTACTGGCAGAGATGAATGGATGGACAGAGGAGCAGAAAGCAATATATCTGGCAACGAGCTTGAAGGAACAACCACTGGAAATACTTGAACAGTTGTCAGCAGACGACAGGCACAACTATAGAGCACTGGTAGCGGGTCCAGAACTCAGGTATGGAACCCAAAACCAGTCAGAAGTCTAC